GCACAAATGTATGTAATCTTAGAACAATTAAAAAATAAAAATTTTGAAAATTACTTTTTTTCATCTATACCTCTTTTAATTGTTTAACTTTATTATACTCTAATATCAACAAATATGTGTTCTACTGTTTAAAAGCTGCACAAATGTATGTAAAGAACACACAAATTGGCACATTGTATGGAATGAATATGAACAGGAATTAAGGCAATTTAACACAAATCTATCAATGGCCTCCTGGTGCAATGAAATTATAATATGTACAATTTTAAATTACTTAACCATGTGGACATGTTTTGGAAACTTTGATATAAATTATAAGAAAAATGTCCCCTAAATACTGAAATTCAGCTCGAAAAAGTATGTACATGTTATGACCTGAGATTTCATTTTTCTATGCAGGTCATCACCTGCATTTTCATTGTCATAGGTTGACAGGTATGAAAAATTCTGTGTCTACTTCACAAATAATACAGGATGGTCTTGAGTTATAGATTCTAGGTGCTTATTCTGTGTAGAATTGTATCTACTATACAGTTTTACCTTTATTTGTCTTTGTACTATTAATATTCAATATGGTTGTATGACTCTTGATTTGGTTCGGTATATGTGCATCCAGCTTTCAGGTTTTTGCCTTTGGCGTTCCTTATGTGGGTGGATCCACAGATGCGATTCGCGCACATAAGGTTTTTATAGTGTTGTTTTCATTTTGTATACCCTCGTATTGATATTCTACTTATTTTGTATTTTATCAAGAAAGTGTATACATGTTATATGTCTTTATGCTTAAATATACTGACTGCATTATCAACTACAAAAACCTTTTTTGTTGGCATCTTTTTTTTATTTAGTTGTAAGTGTGTTTTAGCATTTAAATCAGTTATGTTGTATGTCTGTGATGTATGTTTACACAGTTTTAACTGCTGGATCCCAGTCATGACAATGTTAACCAAGTATGTCTGTTTGGGTTACTCGCCCAATTTGGCAATATTACTGAACATTAAAAAACTGTCATACAAGTGGGCGCTTTAGCTAGCTAGAAAACCAGGTTTTACCCACCATTTTCTTAGGAAAAAACCTGTGCCAAGTCAGGAATATGACCCTTGTTTTCCTGCGTTTTTTTAAACAATATTTTTCCAATTGTTACAAAAATCAACGAGGAACTTTGTTTTACAGATATGACTGTGCATCAAAATTAATGAAAATCTAAGAGACAATCTTAATTTTTCATTAGACATAAAGCTTATGCAGAACGAACAGACAGACTTATATTATTATAAAGCAACTATTCAGTGTGATATTAATAAACAAATAATCAGATCAAATGGCATTGAACAATCATAGTAAAAATAAGGAGATGTAGTATGATTACCTATGAGACAACTATCCACCAAAGTTCAAATAAAGAGGATGTAAGCAATTATAGGCAACCGTACAGCCTTCAACAATGAGAAATAAACAGCTGCGCCATGAGCGCATGATACGCCCTTGCTTTTTCAAAGAATAAAGTTCAATAACTTCTCAATGTCATATCAGAAATTGATGAAAAACTAAAGGGAGGTTATCTTAATAGATATAATCCAGTCACCAAAGTTTTATGAAAACTGCTGAAAGCTTGTTTGAATTATTGTCCGAAAACTGAAAAATCTCCCTTTTTTAGTGAATAAAATCCCATAACTCAGAAACGTAAAATCTAAAATTAAAAAAATTGTCAATAGATATAAACAATTCACCAAAGTTTCTTGCAAATTGGTGAAAGTGTTTTTGAGTTATTGTCCGAAAACTAGAAAATCCCCCTTTTTTAATGAACAAGAGTGCACACGCTATGTCTCGCCTGTTTTACTGACCATTGATTTTATGTTGAAAGTCTTAAAGATAAAGGTTTTACTACAAGTATCACATAAACTTAACATTTTTAAAGATCCATGACAATGAGGTCAAGGTCAGATAAATTGCTTTGCCGAGCGCAGCTGGATACGACGGCAGAGGTCCAACCCTGAACAGTTGGGGCAAAAATGGACACAATATTCGCGCTTGATACAGGTCTGAATTTGGATTGTAATTACATATTTGACACAGAATAACTGTAGTCAAAGAACTTAGAATTGGTTATATAATTTGAATTTATATATCCTAACCATCCCTTTGAGGTATGGAAACTTGTGGTATAATTTCAGAGAGATCCATACACGTTCAACAAGTAATTGTCTGGAAACTAGAAAAATGCTTATTTGGGCCCCTTTTTGGCCCCTAATTCCTAAACTGTAAGAATTTAACCCCCAAAATCTACCCAACCTTCCTTTTGTGGTTATAAACCTTATGTTTAAATTTCATAGATTTCTATTTATATTTACTTAAGTTATTGTCCGGAAACCAAATTTCTTCAGACGACGCTGACGACAACGACGTGATACCAATATACGACCTTTGCGGTCGTAAAATAAAAACTATCACACAAACATGTACACCTTACAATTAATCCATACACCAAATATAGTTGACCCATTGCTTATGGTAATTGAAAAAACAGACCAAAACATTAACCTTAATGTTAACCAATGAACCATGGAAATTAGGTCAAGGTCAGATGATACTGGCTAGACAGACATTAACACCTTACAATCATTCCATACACCAATTATAGTTGACCTATTAATATATGTATTTGAAAAACAGACCAAAACACAAAAACTTAACATTGACCAATGAACCATGAAAATGAGGTCAAGGTCAAATGACACCAGCTAGACAGACATGTACATCAACAATCATTCCATACTTTAAATATAGTTGACCTATTGCGTACAGTACTTGAAAAACAGACCAAAACATAAATAAATGTGGATAGTGTCCACATGTGGACACAGATGATGCCCCCCGCTTGCATATCATATAGTTATAAAGGGACATAACTGAAGAATGGTAAAAGTGACGCTACCCAAATTTGAACTTGATCTGAGTTTTGTGGTAATAAGCATTGTGTGTAAGTCTCATAACATTTGGTTGAGGCTAACTAAAGTAGAGTACAGAAACTAAAAATTCAGCAATTTTTCTATTTGTAAACACGCATAACTCTAGAACGGTTGTGTATAAGTTTTATAATATTTGGTTGAGACAAACTAAAGTTAGAGAACAGAAATGAAAAATTCAGCAATTTTTATGTTTATAAAGGGACATAACTCAAGAATGGTAATAGTGTCGCCACCAAATTTCGTACTTAATTTGTATTATGTAGTAATAAGCAATGTGTATAAGTTTCATAACATTTGGTTGAGGCAAACTATGTAAAAGTTTCAAAGTCAATGAGCCATGAGGGGTGGGGCTATATAATCTCCATGGAAACGATACTTGCAAACACCAATACATTTGCATACCAAATATCATTAACTTAACATTAGCAGTTCATCTTAAAACTGATCTAATCACAAACTAATACATGTAAACTAAGCAAAATTTTCAAAGTCAATAGACCATGACTTAGGGGGCGGAGCCATATAGTCTCTATGGGATATGCCAATGCTTATACAACTGCATACCAAATATCATTGACCTACCACTAGTGGTTCCCCATAAACTGACCTAATCACAAACTAATACATGTAAACTAAGCAAAAGAGATCTTAAGACAAAAGAACTACGAATGCTTGAAATTGAAAAATTTAACATAAAATGCATTGAGCAAAAAATTAGTTGTGTGCTCCTAGATTTTTACAAAATTCTGTTTAAGAGCTATTTTCACAACCACAATCATGCAATTAGGACAAGAGGTCAAAATCATGTAGTTCATGCTTAAATCATGAAAGCTGGCAGGTATGCATAGGTAGTGACAAAAACCCTCATTTTAGGGGGGTCATTTTAGTGATATGGACAATTTTGTAACTCTTGTATTGCTGATCACTTTTGCTGTTTACAGTTTCTTCATATCTATTATTGGTTTTCAAGTTAACTGGAAAAAACCACATCAACTAGACAAAAATCGTCCTTTAAGGGCAATTTCTCCTCGTCAAAAGGTTTTGGTCATATCAACACTTATGTAGCTAGTGTATTGCCAATCATTTCTGTTGCAAGTAATTACAATTTCACAGGTAAACCAAGGTTAATTCATTTTGGTTGAATACCAAATATTCTGGAAAAAAAATGTGTTTTTAACAAAATTCTCAAACTAAGGATTGTTCAGTCAAATTTTCAATATCAAATTAACAACTGACATAATTTGATATTTTGTTGAAAAATCCAGAGTTCTCGAAAAAAGTGGTGGTCTGAAGGTTTTGAACACTAAAATTATGTGAAAGATGTACCGACACAATTTTGTTATATTGCAATAGAAATAGTAGTGTGGACCAGCAGATTTTCACCTTGCAAGGACCACCAAGGAACAAAAGATTTTGAGATCTCTGAAAATCTATTATAAATTTGAGATAATTAAGTTATCAAAATTAGTACAAAAATCTTCATCAAAAGGGAAGAACTCCCAGATGGAGTTATCAAATGGTTATGGTCATATCTGCATTTTGTAAATCTTGAATGTTTGATTATTTTTGCAGTTGTCAGGTTCTACCTATCTATTATAGTGAGATAATAGGAAAAAACATGTATTTTGATAAAAGTTATCAATTTAGAGCAATAATTCCATTAGGCCCGAGAACACAGCTATTTCATAGTATATTTAAGTAGTTTTATTTTAATAGATTAACAGTGTAATACAGTCTAAATACAATCAACTGAAAAGGAAAAGATATTTATCATAGCAGAAGCAGAATCTTCTTCGAACAGTTTGGCAAGATGACCTTTTGATATAGTTCACAAATATACCACATTATAGCAATAAAGGCAATTGCTTTTAAAACACATTTTCTAGGAGTTTAACAATTGTGTTCCTTGCCTGAAACTGTGAATCAAGCGTCATTAAAAGCAGGGTAAACAAAGAAACTTTAAATGCTGGAAATAATTTTTTCATCTAACATTGTCATTTTTGTAAACATAAATTATGAAATACTACCAACCTCAATACATGGCATACGTCCCGAAAAATTAGCTCCAGTGTATCCATAAGTAACATTAGCAATCAGTTTCAATCCTAGCTGTCTAGCATCCAAAAGGCGGTGTAATGTCTGTAAAAAAAAATCAAGATGACTGTGAGCTATTGCTCCCTAACAATATTCCAGATTTAAGTATTCTATTACAGATAATTGATGAATGATGGATTTGAAAATGCATTACAGGGTATAACATGCTCCCATGAAGTTTGATATCAAAAGTCTGAAAGCTCTGATTTGTAGTTCCTGCGAAAAATGTGATGAAAATTGAACAAGGGCTGTCAGATTGACAGCAAACTGGATTTTCCTGCATGAAAATGATATTTGCAAATCTGGACACCAACGATATAAGTTAAAATGGTGAAAATCGAACTTGACCTTCATTTAGTCACAGGTAACAACATATCAAAATTTGAATAAAATAAGATTTCGTTGAAGCAGTTTCAAGTTATTGCACAGACAACACGCTAAGTATCACTTTTTGCTACTTATAGGTCTACAACTCAACAACGATAAAAGCTAAAATCGTGAAAATTGAACTTGACCTTCATTTAGTCACAGGAAACAACATATCTTAATTTGAAAAGATTTCGTCAAAGTGTTTTCAAGTTATTGCACGGACACTGTTTGGCAGCCGCCTGTCCATTTGCTCACAGTACACCAACAAATTAATAACCGATATTTTCCTTAGGAAATCCAGTTAAAAACGGTAAATTTTTGAGGAATTGCCAACGCTTCTGTCAATTTTGAAGCCGAAATCAAACTGCTTGTGAGCACTGAAAGGTACAGATTACTTTCAATTTGCAATTTTGTGAATTATTAAATAAAACATTGAATCATATTTTCCTAGGCAAATTAAAAATTTGAGTTGGAATTATCTTCCTTTGTTCATGATTTTATATTTGTAATTGAACCTATTTTTTTAACATATTCATACACCATGCAATACTTTAAATAAAAAAAATGTTTTCTTGACAAGTATTGTAATTCAAATACACATCATATCGTAACTTAAATCAAAGTATAACATATCATCAATAAATTGCATGACATTGACTGGATAGGTTCTAAATAATGATCACTACACTGCACTATTATGTTTGAACTATCAAAGGTAGTGATAAACCTTGGAAGATATAGATATCAAATCAGTACCATAGAGTTCTGATTGCATTTCATGCAATGTTTACCCATTAAAACAGGAAGTTACAAGTTAATACTAAATAACGAGTGATTCCAGATTTATTTACGAAATTCATTGTGTTTATCAAACAAGAGGCTCATGAGAGCCTGATATCGCTTACCTGACTGTAATTTCAGTTTCAGGCATTTGATTTATTTGTAGATCATACTTTGCTGAACAATTTTGTCATTCACAATTTCTCTCTTTCTATAATAATATTAAAGATAATACATAACCCAAAACTGTAAAATTTCCTAAAAATTAACTATGTCTGGACAGTAATCCAACAACAAGTTGTCCTATTGGTCTGAAGATTACTTGACAGGTAGATCTAAACCTGTTTAACACTTTCACCTATGTCAGGTTTGCCCTTACTGCTCTAGTTTTTGAGATGAAAGCCAAAAACTTCATTTGACTCCTAAGTTCTATATTTAGAAACTGCCGCCATGTTTTTGAATGGATCAAATCCCTGAATACAATCTATAAACTAAATACCCTAAGGAACATTCAATTAAAGTTTTTAAGTATTTGGCAAAGTAGTTTCAGAGAAGAAGATTTTTGAAAAAGTAATTGGACTTTCACAAAAAATGTAAAAAAAAAAAGAATGTTTTAAGGGCAATAACTCCTCAAGGGGTCAATTGACTATTTTGATCATGTTGAATTATTTGTAGATCTTACTTAGCTGAACATTTATTGCCATTTATACTTTCTCTCTATCTATTATAATATTAAAGATAAATGGGGAATGTGTCCATTGGACACAGATGATGCCCCCGCTTGCATATAACGTTATAAAGGGCCATAACTCAAGAACTGTAAAAGTGCCACTACCCAAATTGAACTTGATCTGAGTTTTGTGGTAATAAGCATTGTTTATAAGTTTCATAACATTTAGTTGACGTAAACTTAAATTAGAGAACAGAAACAAATATTTCAGCAATTTTGAGATTTGTAAAGGGGCATAACTCTAGAACAGTAAAGTAACGCCATCAAATTTCAAACTTGATCTGTGTTTTGTGGTAATAAACATTGTGGATGAGTTTCATAACATTTGGTTGAGGCAAACTCAAGTAAGAGAACGGAAACAAAAAAATCAGCAATTTTTTTCATTTGTAAAGGGGCATAACTCTAGAACAGTAAAAGTGACGCCACCAAAATTCAAACTTGATCTGTGTTTTTTGGTAATAAACATTGTGGATAAGTTTCATAACATTTGGTTGAGGCAAACTCAAGTAAGAGAACGGAAACAAAAAAATCAGCAATTTTTTCATTTGTAAAGGGGCATAACTCTAGAACGGTAAAAGTGACGTCTTCAAAATTGATCTGTGTTTTTTGGTGATAAACATTGTGGATAAGTTTCATAACATTTGGTTGAGGCAAACTCAAGTAAGAGAACGGAAACAAAACTAGAGGCTCTCAAGAGCCTGTGTCGCTCACCTGATTCTACTTTGGTTTTGGAAATCATGTTAAAATAGATTAAAACAAGAAATGAATGTAACAGGATGCTGTTACGAAGTCTCCCAAACGAAGCTCCCATAATTCGTAATTCCCAGGGTCGCCTGACATTGGGCAACATCCATTGAAAATTGGTTTGGTCCAGTAAAGTTATATGCATTAGTGATGCCTGGGGACTAACCTTGTATATCATTCAAATCATCTTGGCATGACAAACCAGAATATATATGGTTTAGGGGTGGGGATCTCAACCATTTACAAGATACTAGAATATTGGGGGTGGGGAGGAACCCCTGGGGACTGGCCCTATACGTCATTCAAATGTTCATTACATGACGAACAGGAATATATATGGTTTAGGGGTGGCGATCTCAACCATTTACAAGATATTAGAACATTGGGGGTGGGGGGAACCCCTGGGGACTGACCGCATACGTCATTCAAATGTTCGAGACATGACAAATAGGAATATATATGGTTTAGGGGTGGGGATCTCGACCATTTACAAGATATTAGAACTTTCTCAAATGACAGGGGGTCGGGATGATCCCTGGGGACTAACCCTGTCTATCATTCAAACCATCTTCGCATGACAAACCAGAATATATATGGTTTAGGGGTGGGGATCTTGACCACTTAGAAGATATTAGAACTTTCTTAAATGGCAGGGGGTGGGGGTGACCCCTGGAGACTAACCCTGTATTTCATTTGATGTGCTTTATCATGACAAACCAGAATATATATGGTTTAGGGGTGGGGATCTCGACCATTTACAAGATATTAGAACTTTCTCAAATGGCAAGGGGTGGGGGTGACCGCTGGGGACTAACCCTGTATAACATTTGATGTGCTTTATCATGACAAACCAGAATATATATGGTTTAGGGGTGGGGATCTCGACCATTTACAAGATATTAGAACTTTCTCAAATGGCAGGGGGTCGGGATGACCCCTGGGGACTTACCCTGTATATCATTCAAACCATCTCAGCATGACAAACCAGAATATATATGGTTTAGGGGTGGGGATCTTGACCACTTAGATGATATTAGAACTTTCTTAAATGGCAGGGGGTGGGGGTGACCCCTGGGGACTTACCCTGTATAACATTTGATGTGCTTTATCATGACAAACCAGAATATATATGGTTTAGGGGTGGGGATCTCGACCATTTACAAGATATTAGAACTTTCTAAAATGGCAGGGGGTCGGGATGACCCCTGGGGACTAACCCTGTATATCATTCAAACCATCTTAGCATGACAAACCAGAATATATATGGTTTAGGGGTGGGGATCTTGACAACTTAGAAGATATTAGAACTTTCTTAAATGGCAGGGGGTGGGGGTGACCCCTGGGGACTAACCCTGTATAACATTTGATGTGCTTTATCATGACAAACCAGAATATATATGGTTTAGGGGTGGGGATCTCGACCATTTACAAGATATTAGAACTTTCTCAAATGACAGGGGGTGGGGATGACCCCTGGGGACTAACCCTGTATATCATTCAAACCATCTTAGCATGACAAACCAGAATATATATGGTTTAGGGGTGGGGATCTTGACCACTTACAAGGTATTAGAACTTTCTTAAATGGCAGGGGGTGGGGGTGACCCCTGGGGACTAACCCTGTATTTCATTTAATGGGCTTTATCATTTAGAACATTTTCAATTAAAAAGTTTGTGTCTATCACGAACGGTTTTCAATTTATAATCATTTGAAAATTTTAAAAAATAAAATCCCATAGGGTTCTATAGTAAAACCCTCTTTTCTTTTTGCCCCTCAAAGTACCCCTTTATAAACCCCATTGCAAAAACAAAACCCTGATTGCACCACTAGACATGTTAGTCTAACATATTGTGAAACCCTAAGTTAATCCGACAAGCGGTTTTGGAGAACGGGTGCGGACAAGTTCAAATTTAAAAGCGGCGGAAGAAGAAGAAGAAGAAGAAGAAGAAGAAGAAGAAGAAGAAGAAGAAGAAGAAGAATAATAATAAGAACTGAGCAAAAACAATAAGTCTTCCCAAACTTCGTTTGGGAGACTTAATAATAACAGATACCCTAATAATGAGTGAGGCCAAATTTGGTTTAATATATATATATATATTGGCCCTGTAATTTAAAAAAAAAATCCTGGTGGCCATCTTGAAAAGTAAATCAGCAACAAAGTAGCAACACTTCATCAGCACCTCATAAGAAACATTTATGCCATGTTTGGTTTCATTCCATTCAGTGCACCTCTAGAAGAAGCTTTTATATATATTTCCAATAGGGTCTTATGTTAAAGGAAGTCCCCTGCTGGGGGCCATCGTGGATGAAGGATCAGCTTCAAAGTAATAACACTTAGTCAGCACCTCATAAGCAACATTCATGCCATGTTTGGTTTCAATCCATTCAGTGGTTCTCTAAAAGAAGACATTTGTATGTATT